AGGTGGCGTAATTGAATCAATTTTTATAGGCTGTTTCGTATCTTCAACATTCCTAATCAGTTTTAGACAAAGAAAATCATATTAGACAAATGAAACCCGGCCGCTTCCTGCCGTAACCCGTTTTTTAAAACTACCCTCACATCCGTCGCCTTCTGAAGGCATTCAGGTTTGTCTGTAAAGTCTGAATTGATGAAACCAATAGTACCAGATTTGAAGGAACGATGATAAAGACGTAAAACCGAGTCTTCTTCGAAATCGAAGAAATCTGATATAATTAAACCTACTTTTGCGGTTTAATTTGAAGAAACGCCCACGTGCGACGTCTATGACCACAAAAAATATGAAGTGTTCGAAAAATCGGATATAATACATTTAATGACAATAAGAAAACGCGAAATTAAGCCGTAAAAGTAGTAAAGATTAAGGTATTATTTCATAATAGCATAAAATTCAAATCCTCGCGATTTAAGAATTTAAGCAATGTCCGATGGTATATTGGGTATATTTTAAGTCCACACGTATATATGTACTCACTACCATCCCGTGTGCTTAGTGCGCGATTTTTAACGTTCTCGATAGCGTAAAAGTTGACTCAAATTCGTATAGAGTTGGAACGTTTGCCTACGTTTGCCGCTATTGCTATGCACTAAGCACACTGCTGATTTCTGCTAAGAACCAGTCATACGTTACGGCTTAAAAGATGGGACAGCCGTTATACTGTACAATTGAGACTTAGATTTGTCTCAAGGATAGTAATGGCATGGTGTCTACAGGCTCCAATAACTATTGAACATCAGATAGCCCGTTTATATTTATCATACGAATACAATAGATATAAAATAATTAAAGAAAGAACAGATACTTTTGTATTCAATATGAAAAGAAATTTTCTTTTTATTTTCTTTATTGGACAATAAAAAAAATTTAATTGCTGTATTATAAATAATTAAAAATTCTAAATAATTAGAATTTTTTTCAAACATTTTTTCTTCAAAATAGAAAACTAAAAGAAAAAATTAATACACAATTTTATTTTCTTCTAAAAATATCATTGATTGTATTCGAATTTCGACCATTCGACAAAGACTGCTTACTGCTAAGTATTACTTAATACAATAAAACAATGAACTTGTGAGAGCGAAATACCACTATGACAGTAATAAACAATAAAAATAATTAAAAAAGATTACACACAAATCATTAAAATTCTATGAAAAGCACTGAATGTCATGCGAAGAAAACGTATTGCAATATCGTATACTTCATCACCATACCCAAAACAATAACCATTGCCTAAGCTAAGAACAAATACTATTTTTTAGCTGATTCAAGTTTATCGAGCGCGTAATGAACTGGGAAGTTAGCTGATATACGGCTGATATACGTCACACGAGGTCATTGCCCTCGGATGCAATATTATTTTTATCCGCTTGCACATTCAATTACATTTAAGTCGTCGTGGCCTAAAGGATAAGACGTCCGGTGCATTCGTATCGAGCGATGCACCGGTGTTCGAATCCCGCAGGTGGGTACCAATTTTTCTAATGAAATACGTACTTAAAATGTTCACGATTGACTTCCACGGTGAAGGAATAACATCGTGTAATAAAAATGAAACCCGCAAAATTATCCTCCTCAAGTCGTGTTCCTCATGTCTGAGGGTCGTGACCACCATCACCCATGAGCTTCAATCTTAGGATCTTTTTCCACTTTCCCCTGTCCACGGCGTCATGCAGCGCGCTGTACACTGTACTATCCAAAGCGGTGCGGATCTGATCGGACCAACGAGTCGGGTTGCGGCCTCTAGATCTGTTGCCTTCAACTTTCCCTGTGATCATAAGTTTTTCCAGGTTATCGCCGTCTTTCCTCGCAATGTGACCAAAATATTCGAGGATCCGCTTCAGACATACAGTAGACAGTCTGATTTTGATGCCCAGTTGCTTCAATATCGACACGNATTTCGTAATGCTTAATAACTTTCGCTGGACAGCATTCCTGAGGAACTGAATCTCGATGCGGATGCGTTATGTTGTTTTGAATTGTTTTTTGCCGTGTTGTTGAGCAGACAGACTGAAGGTCCTAAGTATATACAGGAGCTATACTATACATATCGACGGGAGAAAACAGAAATGTCGTAACTTGCATTTTTGGCTAAATAACTTTTTTCACAACATATTCTTGTACATATCAATAAAATAAAGCTTTGAATGGTTTGAGTCTCATTTTCCTACTATTCAAATTTTCATGTTTTATTTTCAACTTGCTATCTCTATAAATATAATATGAGTTATGAATTGTTTAATACTTTTATGGTTCTACCGTAAATTTACGTTTTTCTAGTTAGTTTTGTAGGCAGCGGCTTGGCTCTGCCCTTGGCATTGCTGAAGTCCATGGGCGACGGTAACCACTCACCATCAGGTGGGCCGTAAGATCGTCTGCCTAAAAAAACAATAAAAAAAAAAAAAAAAAAAAAAAAAAAAAAAAAAAAAAAAAAAAAAAAAAAAAAAAAAGCCCGGTGGAGTGCGTCGCTGATAGGTATCCCCAGTTCCTCCGCTATTTGGTCCGACCATCGTTTGGGACCTCTACCCCTAGGCCTTTTTCCCTCTATTTTACCGGTCACCACAAGGCGTTCCAGATTGCTGGTATCCCTACGTGCAACATGACCAAAATACCGCAATATTCTTTGTAGGCAGATTGTGGATAGACGTTGAATCTTTTCTATTTAATATTTAATATTATATAAGTAAAGAAAAAACAAATACTCTGATTTTCTTTTTATTTTCTTTATTAAACAATAAAATTTCTTTAATTGCAGTGTTATAAATAAATAAATAAAAAATCTAAATAATCAGATATATTTTTTTCAAACATTTTTTCTTCAAAATAGGTAACTAAAAGAAAATTTTAATACACGAATTGATTTTAAAAGTATCATTGATTGTGGTCGAATTTCGATCATTCGAGAAAGACTAGTTACTGCTAAGTATTACTTAATACAATAAAACAATGAACTTGTGAGAACGAAATACCACTATGACAGTAATAAACAATAAAATTAATTAAAAAAGATTACACACAAATCATTAAAATTCTATGAAAAACACTGAATGTCATGCGAAGAAAACGTATTGCAATATCGTATACTTCATCACCATACCCAAAACAATAACCATTGCCTAAGCTAAGAACAAATACTATTTTTTTAGCTGATTCAAGTTTATCGAGCGCGTAATGAACTGGGAAGTTAGCTGATATACGGCCCCTACGTCACACGAGGTCATTGCCCTCGGATGCAATATTATTTTTATCCACTTGCACATTGCAGCGGTAGGCAGCGGCTTGGCTCTGCCCCTGGCATTGCTGAAGTCCATGGGCGACGGTAACCAGTCACCATCAGGTGGGCCGTATGCTCGTCTGCCTACAAGGGCAATAAAAAAAAAAAACTTTCAGCGACGAAGAAAAAAATACACCAAATTATTATTTATATAACCTAGCAAGGACATCCGAGAACATACATCTAACCGTGTACACAAATCAGAAGCAAAAAGTATTTGAAGACGTAAATTAAGGATTAGGGGAAATAACGTACAAGATTCTCAAGGGTCGAATTTGTGGGGAATAAATCTTCTCAATCCCTCATTAGTTAGTTAGTTTAAATCGCATTTAACAAGTGTCGAGATTACTCGTGTTCACGAGAGCTCACGTTTATCAACCAGCTTACTAGAGGCGTATAAGCATTGTTTTCCTAATACAAATCAACTGATATTTGCATCGAATTTTTAGTGAGTTTAATTAAAAAAATAATCGAGTTTATAGATTCATCATATTTTAAACTAAGTTACGTTTTGTAGGATGCATATATTATGCATATTTACATTTGCATACTGAATTTGGAGATCGCATTATGAATATTAAAATTAGTCGATAGTTCGTTTTAAACGACTATTATTACTTATAAATACTATAATATTATAAAGCTGAAGAGTTTGTTTGTTTGAACGCTCTAATCTCAAGAACTACTGGTCCGATTTGAAAAATTTTTTCAGTGTTAGATAGCCCATTTATTGAGGAAGGCTATAGGCTATATAAAATCACGCCAAGACCAATACAAGCAGAACACCAATAAAGAATGTTTCAAAATCGTTTATTTTTTTCCTTTTGAGAGCTTCCGCTGCGTGCGCTGCAGAAACGGTTAAAGTTTCGCTAAAATAATGTATGACAGAATTGTTCCCCTTTAAAAGATCTAAAAAAAAGTCCGAGACAGCATAATTATGTCTATATGTTAAGGTTGGCTCACTAAAACGTTTTTTATGGTAACCAAATTTGTTCTAAAATAAAGCATTATTTGTGAACTATTCCACGCGGACGAGGTCGCTGGCAAAAGCTAGCTACTTATAAAGAACAAGCGCCCGCTCCGGCTCCGCTCGGGTCTTTAACAAAAATCTCAACGATGTTTGACGTTGTTTTATTTTTTTAAATAAAAGAACACTTATTGCTGCATAACTATAATAGTTAGACATCCTATTATATTGTCGCGACACTTTTCGTAAATAATAATGTGTTCTACAAAGTCGTAGTACATTATTTTCTATTCTATATTCTATCATCAATAGTTTTCGCAGGGCACGCGATGTAAAGAATATTATAGGAATTTTTTTTACACCTTGGGTTACATTATTGGAGTAAGGATCCCTATTTTTTTGCAAAAAAGATTATAGCCTATGTCAGCGTAGCTTCCAAACAGTGAAAGAATTTTTCAAATCGGTTCAGTAGTTTCGAAGCCTATTCAATACAAACCAACAAACAAATCTTTCCTCTTTATAATATTAGTATAGACTAGCCGATCGATGGAATTGTCGAAACAATGAAATTATCGCGACAAAGTACTGAATGTTTGCAGCGAAGTGTCCTTCCACTAGTGGGGCAGTGGTACCACGCTTTATATATAAACGGGACTGGAACTTACTCACATATACCCACTGACTTCTCCCCGTGTTACACGGTCAGCTACCAAGAGTGAAATAGTTACCACTACCAATATAAAGAAAAATGAAGGCTTTCGTAAGTTTGAGATTTTCATATTTTATTGCTTCGAAGTTGTGTTTTTACGTGTTGATTTAATTTAAATGTTTTATGCTTCTTAAATAAAATTAAGTGGTAAGGAAATCGGTGCTAAAATTTCATTTAAAGTTCGGGTGCTTTAAAAAAAAATTTAAGCGTGCTAATTTATTTTGAGCTTAATTTTAAGCACAATTGTATTCATAATTACTTCTTACCACTTTGAATTTGTTTTTTTTTTTGTAAATTCATTGTTGATGCTTGAATATCTTTTAATTATAAATGATATAGTTCACTCTTGAAGATAACGCTAATTAATTATTAATTAAATTAAGAAAATTAACATTTCCTTCGCAATGGTTATTTTTATTCAATGTTTAATAAAAACGAATTAAAATAAAATCTTATAAATTATACTGTAAATAATAATAATTAATACGAATATAAAAGAAATAAAACTACATAGTATTTTAATTTCAGTGAGATTTACGTGTTACATGTGTGTCCGTAATGTTGTTTTCACGATGCAAGTTGAATAACTTGTAAGCATCATTTCAACTCTTTATTTAATTATGTTAGTGTAATTTAAATCAGTTTAAAATGTGTTTCTCGTACTTTCTTCGAATGAAGCTTATTAACGATCCTCAGGATAACGGCTTATCTCAACTCTTTTGTTTTTAATACGCTTTTATTAGCTTCAGACGTATGTTAGTATGTAACGGAATCTTTGAACATGATTTTGGCCCCCTTCAAAACGTTGGGTTCACTCGAAATTTGGTATACTTATTAAGGGCCGATGACAATTCAATATTTAAAAAAAAATAAAATAAAATAATGAAAAAATTTAAATTCAACTAAAAAATTAAAAATAAATAATAGTTTAAATAAACGAACAAAATATGCATTTATAGAAAATCCAACTAAAAAATTGAAAATAAATTTTAATAAATTTTAATTAAAATTATTTTAATAATATCCTGAAAAACACCCCATGGTTTTTTACAATAAAATCATTTTTTCTTACACAATTTTTAAATAATTCAAATTTATTTTCTATTTTTTAGTTGGATTTTCTATAAAAGCGTATTTTGTTCGTTTTTTTAAACTATTATTTATTTTATGATAAGAAAACTTTTCTGCTTCCACACATATCATGAAATTAACACAACCTAATTTTTGCAGTCGACTCTGTCATCTAACGTGGTTCTATTTTAATTGGCTTATAAAGACATTTTCGATTCCGCTCATTTGTTTTATTGTTTTATTAGTGTCCAAGTCATTTTTACAAGCCCTAAAGTACCAACCCAACTTGTCAAAGTACTATAGTATCCAATCGCCTTGTCAAAGTTAAACTCCACTGTCTGAACTGGATGATGAAACATAAGCATTATTCATTTCTTTCATTCATATAATTATAAACCTCAAATGTAGCTTACATTATTTACAGAAGTTATCGTCCTTAAAAATGTAGTCGACATTATCATCATGCCTTTTTGTATCACATAAAACTTCTGTCACATCACAGAAAAATATCGGATATTTTTTTCGTCCAAAGAAACCATATACCTATTTTGAGTCCATAGTTATATTGTCTTTCTTCCGTTAAATTTTTTAATGTCATTGTGCTCCCATTTAAAATACGATCGTATTATTTATTCTAATAATACGTGAAGTAAAAACTTTGTATCCTTTTTTACGAAAATTGCGCGGACGAAGGAGTATGAAATTTTCCACACTTATAGAGAATATAGAGAAGAAGTGCACAATGCTAATTTTTTTTTTAAATAATGCATAAAAGATACATTAAATCAATAAAGAAAACATTATACACACTACATACCATGTATTTGACGCACACACGCATGCATACTATTTATTGTCAAACTTTTGTTATTGACGTTTGTGGTCAAATTGAGAATAGATTAAATATTGTTTGTCTTTATTAATACATATATTTTTATAGTCTATCTAGCCTTGGTGAAATTTATGTTTATAGAAGTATATAATACAATCATAATAGTGTACAAACTTACAATTCCAATTAATTATAGTCGAATTTCGACTACTGCGGGACCTCTAGTTTATTCTAAAAACACAATCATGATACTGTTTGAGATTATAATGAGTACTTGAATAAACGTCACATAAAATACGCTAAAATAGGCATTGTCGTTTTAATTCAAGACAAATATGCGCGAATAAGTTCACGAGCGCACGCGTTCTAATTACTAAGCCATGTGACACATATGGTCACATCACGTAATAGACATAACAGACAGGTTCTGTTTAGTTCCTGATAAACTGCTGTGACGATTGACTTGGGACGTACAGCGCTCGCGAACTTACCGCACGATTTCTGACGAAGAACATGTCCGCAAATAATTGCTGAATTTCTCAATTAATTAAATTTGATTATCCTGTAATACATATATTAGATTAAGATTTATTGTTATATGAAAAGTAGTATATCAAGTAGTATTACAAATATTTACTCAAATAACGATAAAATCAGTAGTACCTATTCTTGTAAATAAAATCACTTTGACTCCTTTTTCATCAATCATTTTGACAGATTCAGTATTCGTGTAGATGTAGGGGACATTACAATATACTCATAAACTTACTCAAGTGCTGAAAAGACGACTATCAAAAGAATATTTTTTAAATTAGGCTTCCACCAATTAAATATGTAAATTATGAGATTAATAGAAATGGTTAATTAAATGCCTATTATCGCCAGACAAAAATTGGCTCTTGGACCAAACGGGTGCCTCTTAAATCCCCCAAACGAAGCCTATTTATCTACTTATTCTTTTTTTTATTTTTTATTGCCTTGGTGTGTGGACGAGCTCACAGCCCACCTGGTGTTAAGTGGTTACTGGAACCCATAGACATCTACAACGTAAATGCGCCACACACCTTGAGATCGAAGTCCTAAGGTCTCAGTATAGTTACAACGGCTGCCCCATCCTTCAAACCGAAACGCATTACTGCTTCACGGCAGAAATAGGCGGGGCGGTGGTACCTACCCGTGCGGACTCACAAGAGGTCCTACCACCAGTAAAAAATTCAGTCTATTTATTCACTAAACTTACTAAGCGTACGCGTTTACGTATGCGTTGCAATCGTTCCCAGTCAATCCGAACTTAGCGTTTCACATCACGAACCGAATTTCGTTTCTGTCCGACGCTGCATTTTAATGAATGAATGAAGTCACATCACGCAGAGAGGTAAAAGTGATCATTATTCGATACACCATAAAGGCATAATGTATGCAACATGCACGCATTACATTGTACTTTAGCCGGTCGATGTAAACAAATTTTGCTTTCATTCTCGCTTTTGGGCCGCGACATTAACGATACAGAGTCCTGTTGCATATTTTCTCTACATTTACCTCCCTTTTTACCAATATGACGTCCGAGGAAAACTCCTAATTAATTTGCAACGCATAATCAATATAACATCTCAATAGGCAAGATACGACTTTTATCTTATTTCCGTTTGATCTAAATTTCTCGTACTGCAATAAAGCGAACATAAGTTTCGTCCGGTCACCGTCCTCGCCGAACCCGTCGCTTGCGACGAAGGGCTCGACGAGTAAATTAACCCACAGACACAGCCCGCTGAGTTTCTCGCCGGATCTTCTCAGTGAGTCGCGTTTCTGATCCGGTGGTAGATTCTGCGAAGCACTGCTCTTGCTCTCTTGCTAGGGTCACTATTAGCAAATTCTCTCAGATTGAGCCCGTGAGCGCACCTACAAGTCAGAGCGTAGCTAGCTGGAATAGCCCCTTAGACCACCCGCGAATAGATCTATATTAATATTATAATGTAATAATAATAAATAAATTATTATACAGAGGAAAGATTTGTTTGTTTGTTTGTATTGAATAGGCTCCGAAACTACTGAACCAATTTGGAAAATTCTTTCACTGTTTGGAAGCTACACTATTCCCGAGTGACTTTTTTCTCTTGCTAGGGCCAGTGTTAGCAATACCTCTGGTTTGAGGGCCGAGAGCTCACCTACACGTCAACGAGAAGCGAAATAGCCTCCCAACGCTATCAGCATAGGTAGGGAAAAAAAATCATACGCTTAAAGAGCGTAGTTGCCAAATTCATAACAATTATTCTCGAACCCCCTAATAGAATGGGCGGAGTTATTTACGTTATGGTATTTATCGGATTCTTTATCCCCTAATTGGCCAGATGAACCTAGATGATTTGTGATGTGTCTAACTTACGAGACCAAATTATCACTAGGTCCTAAAATTAAAATTAATAATTTTCTTGTTTTTGTCCTTATTCCACATTATATGAGTTGGCGTAGGATTTTTTTTATTGCTTAGATGGGTGGACGAGCTCACAGCTCTCCTGGTGTTAAGTGGTTACTGGAGCCCATAGACATCTACAACCTAAATGCGCCACCCACCTTGTGATATAAGTTCTAAGGTCTCAGTATAGACAACGGCTGCCCATCCCTTCAAAATGAAACGTATTACTGCTTCACGGCAGAAATGGGCGGGCAGGAACATCCTCTAACCATGCTGCTTAAGGATTTCACATGTGTTTTACGATCGGCCTCCTGTGGTTAAATCTCCAGTAGTATATCCACTAAGCGCCATAGGAAGGGTCTCTTCTGTTTTTTCTATTGGTGTTTCTTATACTATCTTTGCATGTTATTATCTAAATACCTTACACATTAATACTAATACATTTACACTCAAACCTGATATTTTCAAATGGGTACCAGAAGGATCAAAATATTACATTTTATTCCTTTTTTCTGTATTAATGGCACTTTTGACGTTATTATGAACAAAACTTATTTTCTTAACACACCTACTATTTTATAGACATTATGGTTAAAATCTCAGGCATAAGAACAAAAGAACACATAAGATATATGTTGACAGATTAGTTTGGCAATCCATGGGAAATTATCATTGTTCTGATAGATCACAGTTATGAGAAATATATTCTGTTAAATGCATTGTTTTATCATGCCGATTTTTTACAATCCAAATTATATAGATACTTGTATTTATATTGCTTTGTAAGCCTGCATGGGTAGGTATCGCTGTTATATTTCTGTCGCTAAGTATTCATACCTTTTGATTTTAAGGATAGACGCTTGCTCATTAAGATGTCTGTAGGTTATAGTAACCACTGAAAGACGTTAATGATGTGAGCCTTAATTAAAATTATCACTATCGAACTATTCTATAATAGAACTAAAATTAGTGAATCGACCAAAACAAATCCTTTTTTTATTGCTTAGATGGGTGGACGAGCTCACAGCCTACCTGGTTTTAAGTGGTTAATGGAGTCCATAGACATCTACAACGTAAATGCGCCACCCACCTTACTTGTGACAAATACTTGAGACTTTAGAACTTATATCTCAAGGTGGGTGGCGCATTTACGTTGTAGATGTCTATAGGCCAGTAATCACTTAACACACATCTAAGCAATAACAAAAAAGGATTAGGTGGTTCCGAATACACTGATTCACGCTAAATTTCGATTTGAAATTTAATTTCAAAATTAACCTTGTCAATTGTTACAGGTTGCAGTTCTTTTCGTGGTTGCCTCGGTTCTGGGCGACCCTGAACCCAGTAAAACCATTCAGAAGCGTAGCGGACTCCTGGGTCACTATGCTGATCTTTACGGCCACGGGTTGAGCTCGGGCATCGCTGTCCATGCTGGCCCGGCTTTCGGCGCCCACGGATTAGCCGGCCCAGCCATTGCTGGTCATGCCATTGCTGGTCATGCCATTGCTGGTCATGCCATTGCTGGTCCTGCCATCGCCGGTCCTGCTATCGCTGGTCCTTATAGTGCCGGTGTGATCGCCGCCGAGGGCGCTGGAGGAGCTATTATTGGAGCTAATGTGCACACCACTATAACTAGACACGTCGGAGTACCCGTTCCAGCTCCGTACCCTGTTGCCGTCGACAGACCTGTGCCATACCCCGTCAGAGTGAGTGATTTTTTGAGTCTGCTGATCATTTATTAGAGTATTTCAGTGCCTTTGATGACTGTGTACCTCTGTCTTAAATCATATCTAATACGTGCTCACTCTTAATTTCGTGGAAGATTGATAAGACATAAGATATTATAGTATTATTCATTAAAAACAATTAAATTAAATGCGTAAATAGGAATGCTTAGGAATATTTTGAGCCGATATGCGTTAGTCCAAACGCCTTGGATCTTTTTAGTTTCGAGGATATATTTTCTATATGATCGGGCTTTGGAGATTACGTTAGATCTAAATGTAAAAAATTCACAATATTTATACAAAAATATTATTTCAGGTTGGCGTACCTTACCCCGTGGACCGCCCCTACGCCGTACCCGTCCCCAGACCTTACCCAGTAGCCGTTGAGAAGCACGTCGCCGTACCAGTCGACAGGCCCGTACCGGTACCCGTACCCCATGCAGTACCCGTACCCGTGGTCAAACAAGTTAGTATATTTTTTTCCGAGCTACTACTTTTAATTTACGACCTTTCTACCTCAAAGTAGAAATTCCTGTTTATTTTTCTAAGCTATCATTTAAAAAGTTTAATCAGGAAAATACACTAGCATTGGACGGTGCTATTCATGCTGTAGTATCAAATAAGTTTGTCACTTATTTAGGTCGGGTTGGTACACAACTAAATCACTAAGACGATAAAACAAAACATAAAGAGGGCCAGAAGCGACTTACTTATTTAAGTCTCTATATTTGCTTGGGGAAATGTATAATAAAATTGAAGGACGGTAAATAATTATTAAATGAATCGATACCTTTCCTTAGGTTGGAGTACCAGTCCCAGCTCCGTACCCAGTGGCGGTACCCAGGCCTGTTGCGGTACCAGTACCCGCTCCAGTGGCTGTACCTTATGTGAAATCCGTCATCGGCGCCCACGCACACTTGGGCAGCGCAATCGGACACGATATTCACTCGCACGGCTTCCTCGCACACAAACACGGATGGTAAAGAATGAATCACATCGCTCGATTGATTGAATCCGTATCAAAGGGTACGTAAATGGGAACAGTTGCAATGCGGGTACATTGTGGGATGGCTTGCAAAAGCATATCTAGCCTTTTGAGTACTTCGAACCACAACTCTGTTAGTTTTTGGTGTACATACAATCGAGTGATAAATAAATGATTCTTTTTTTTTTTTGTAAATGGCATCGCATGGTTTCTCTGTATGTTAGTCAAATAAATATATGTGATTTAATTTTAAGTTATTTTTAAGGGGTGCGAGATTATAACTCTATGTGAATCGTTAATGGACGTTTCGATGTTTTTAAACCATTTACATAAAGTTTAAGAGGGTGCGTTCACATTTTGATATAAAGTGCAATAAATGCCCAAAAGACGTCACGTATTTTGGTTGTATCTTTCGATTCGTAGGAAGACTAAACACAGTTAGTATTCACAATATTTGTAACTATATATAACTTATAAATGCTTAGATACACTAAATTACTGTTTATGGTACCTAAATTCTCTATTTGAGAAAAAAAGCCATACTTTTTTTAAAATATGTGATCACTAGCGTTATTTCGATTCTAAAAATCAAATAGGTACTACATTTACTAAAATTATCGTCCATAGTAGAATATAGTATTAACATTTTCTTTTATCCAAAAATATATTCAATTTAATGGCAACATAAAGAGTTTGATTAAATAAATATATAAAAAGATAAAAAACACTAATGTGGTATTGCTACGAATTGAAACGATTTCAGGATAAAGATTGATTGATATTTCGTGTGATCTCTTGGAGTTATTTTGTTTTCGTATCTCGAATCTGCACCGTTGTATATTGTAGTCTGTATCTCAACTGAACAAGGTTTAATTTCAGCCGCGGTCGACTAAAAACTATTGACGCTACCGAACATTTTGTACGATTTTTTGTAATAAAACATCTTGTAAATACAGTTGTTGTTGTTTTTTTTTATGAACATGTGTTATATGTAATTGCTTTTTAACATGGTTTACCAGTTACTCAATGAAATGCATTAAAGAGTTGTTACACTGTAATCATCAATAGATGGCGCTACTTGTATATTAGAACTACGACAGCGTTTGATTGATTTGTGCCGATTGGCAAGAATAGTCTTGTTGGAGTTCTACATCACGTAAAATGCACGTGTCTTCTTCACAAATGTCAACTAAACTCAAACAAATATTTTTCCCAGCGCTTTACAGACGAGCGAAAGCGAAAAATTTTAAAGAATTTTAATAAACCATTTTTTTTGTCTCCAGAAAAGATATTTAATGCTCCTATTGAACTTTATAACGTCTACAAAAATTTATTTGTATAGACAGTTTTATATAGCTAACTCTTGTCTCATCGATCTACTACTCACTAGCGAACAAATTCAAAGTTTTCTAATTTATCCAATTCAGTAGTTAATATGCAATTTTGACCATTCAAAAAACTTGACGACACTTGAATTATTATTGTGTGGCTTATTCATTGACCGAAAAGTCATTAAGAACATGACGATGACGTTTCGTAAAACATAAGACCATTCGTATCTTTTGATATGGATGCGCACAAACAAAGTTCTCCTTACTGGAGGAGCTTAATATTTTATTATTAAGAATATTAGCATAACATTAAGATAACTTTTAGCATAACTTTTAATACTTAACATAACTTTAAGCTACTTTATCGGGAAAATCCTAAAGTAAGTGACAACTCCCTGAAATAAACTGCCAGAAAAAGTTGGTATGGAACCGACATCAATATTATTCTAAAATAAACTTGATGAAGTAGTATCTTGAAACTTTGAAATACTCATCGGCAAAGCTTTCCTGTTTGTATTTTGTGAAATAATAAATTTATCTTTTTTCATGCATAATAATTGAACACGATGCTGTTTGCTGACAATATCCGATTTTTAAATCAATCGTTTCTTTATTGCGTAGTTGTATGAGCTTACGATCCACTTACTGTTATGTGACTTCAGAACCTATAGACATCATTATATTTTTGCAGACCACGTTTTTTTGACCGCTTTGATCGTAATCAGTCAATACCTATTTAATGAGTCTTTAATATCCTGCAGCTAGTAGGATAAATTGCATCTCGATATTAGCTATGCTACACTTCGGTGTGGTAGAAATAATCAAATAACGTATACTCGAAGATTGGATGGAGTGACGTGACACAAAATAGCGCACAAACATGTACAAGGAATTGGTAGTGCACTTGATATGACTTTTAATATAGTATTACCTATGCGACAAACATATACTGTAGGAATCAAATGGCACACTATTATTTTTAAAGGCCTCTTTCAAAATGAACAAACAAAGCAAGATAATGAAGTACGCAACAACTTTTCATACCAAATGTATTCGCGAAGCAGGGGCCGTACCATGAACTTTATAGAAACCGGTAAAACCCCGGTCAAAGTTGACCTGCTATAAGACTTCATGGTAGGACTCCAGATGCGAGTTGTTTGGTCTTTTACAGAAGCGTTTGGGATAGCTGCTAACGAATCCCATAGGTACCTCCTGGCTGAGCCCGTGCTCACTCACTTGTCTTGGTGAAACGGAAAAGTCTCCGGGCCACCTAATCGGGCCGATAATCCTTCCTTTCCAAACAAACCACTTAAGATACTGTAAGCTGCAAATATGGGATCACGACGTACAGTTTCCACGAGCTTACGGTATCATAAAAATGTATACGGCTTAAATAAAAAATATGTACATATATGTAATTAAAATAAATCCTATACCATATACTGATGTTAGTAAATCAAACTAACAATTAATTTCATTTTGTTATTGGTCAGGGTATTATAAAATTAACGTATCATCATTGATCCTTGATGCGTCTGCAAATTTTCAAGTCTTATACATAATCGGTGAAAATGACTTTCCAGTCGTTGAAGATTCCGTTACATCAAACAAACCCACATAGCTAGCTAATAAAGGCGTGTTAAAAATATCTAATTCTTCAACTCAATCGTTTCAGTGAGATTATCTAATTAAGTACCTTCGTTACATAATGTACCCTTAAATAAAAATCGATAACTTTCTATAGAAAAAGTTACAGGCAACGCCGGGCACGTACTATGAATCACCGACTGTTTATGGTCAGCATATCATATTAGCGATGACATCAACTGTCATTAGATTAGCTAATGCGTTAAGTAACTGACGAACTCGAAGGCGTTAGGTTCAACGATTAACAATTGCGGGTCGCGAATTGTTAGCGGTTCGTGTGGTTGCATCTAATATTATATTTCTACTAGGTATTCTGAGATTTTTTAACATTTTACTGACTACGAGTAGAGTTTACTTAAGTCGACATGGCCTAAAAGATAAGACGTCCGGTGCATTCGTATCGAGCGATGCAACAGTGTTCGAATCCTGCATGCGGGTACAAATTTTTCTAACGGAATACGTACTTAACAAATGTTCACGATTGACTTCCACGGTGAAGGAATAACATCGGGTAATAAAAATCAAAACCGCAAAATCATAATTTCCGTAATTACTGGTGGTAGGACCTCTTGTGAGTCCGCACGGGTAGGTACCGCCACCGTGCCTATTTCTGCCGTGAAGCAGTAATTGGCGGCCGCCAGTCCGGCGTCTGGGGGACGGCGGGATGGATGTAATGTGCTCTGCGTAAACCCTGTCCCGCCGTCTCTATAGCTCCGACTGGGTTCCCGCCCGGTCCGGGGTCGGGCGCCGGCTGTGACCGGCAGGAGTTTTTAGTGGGGTTCGACTCCCACATACCCCACCTGCCGTGCGGGTGGGGATCCGGCGATTTCCTCTGTGGAAAAAAAAAAAGACATATACCTTAATTACAACCATAACACAAGGGTATATCCATAATTCGAGTGCGCAATTCCTTTAGCAGTGTAACTATCTTCGGAGAACTTAATCAGTGAAATTCTCCTCAGCGAGGCTTTGGACAGTGTGATTTAATTCTGGAATACTCTACTATATTAAAATAATAGCTCTGAAACTGTAAAGCACGCTTGCGTCGCGTCGAAAGCAAGTTAAAACTTTTGAGTATATACTCATTTTTACTTAAATTTAACTTATTAACGTTATTTTAACTTATTAACGTTATTTTAACTTATTAACTTAAATAATATTGTCTAAGGCACGGGAAGGACTCAGAACAAGATAATAAAGATTCTAAAAGCATATCCGGAGACATAGTCATCGAATTAAGTCGATTGGGTATAAGTTAAGTTACGGCATCTGTTGTCTAATACTCGTACTAATTGAAAAAAAGACTGCCATCTGTTGGTACTGCGTAAAACTATCAGCTTCATACTGACAACTATGTTTTTGTTGGTTAGAAAATATTTTACCTTCGCGTGAATAAGGTAGAGCTTGTAGAGCTTGTAGAATATTGATTGTAAAGTTATAGAAATCAACGATGCAAGAGTTTGACCATTTCAATACTAGATGGAGATCCCATATTGTTTTCTCTTTTAAAATAGTTTAAAAATTTACGCTTTTAGCGATAAGACCGCCTATTGTTCAAATGTTTCTGCTTTTTGACTGTTTTTTTTTAATGTAAATTGTGTTTTGGTGTGCAATTCTTCTCTCTCTCTCTCTCTATGTAAGAATAGAAAAAAAAACTAGAGTTGCCATCGTGAATGATTTGTCTTTGTAGCCCTAAAATATGACTACGGGTTATGTGACACCACACACACACACACATCGTGGTCTGAAGTTGAAGAGTACTTAGTGGCCACTTCCTTTTATATTAGAGCATTCTAGAAACAAGAAATATTAGTTACGAGCTGCCCACTGAACGTATGGTAAATGTCGACATGAATTCTAAATTACAGTACAAAGGCTGCCCCACCATTCAAACTAAAACGCAGTACTGCAGTACGACAGAAATAGGCAGGAACCACCTCCTACCTGCCTATTTTTGCGAATCAGTGCGGATTTACAAGATGCCCTACCACCAGCAAAGTAATCCAGTCCCTCCGTAGAT